ACCACCACCTAGGTTTTTGCAAAGGGCTAAAACCATCAATACGACCCTGAATTGTAGGTCAACACTCGCCAATGGAGCAAACTTGCCTAATCTGGTTCAAATCAACCTAGATGCTAACAATGACGGTAATGTAGTGAATCCAAACACTCAGTAAAGCACGCTGGTACCAAATATAGGAAATGTACAACCGACAATGGTGACGTCACAACCCAATATGGTTCCCATCCACTTTGGGGCTAATGCCATCATCGATAATCAAGGCGGACTGCCGATCCTATAAAAGGGGGGGGGGGGGGGGGGGAGGGATACACCATAAGGCTGCGTTTGGTCGTCCGGATTTCTAAACAGGATAGGACTGGATAGGATAAGATAAAAAATCCTGGAATTTCTTCATATCCTGTCCACTGTTTGGTGGACTACAGATTTAAAGTCGGATAGGATAATTTTATTTTTTTTTGCTATTCACGGGTCCGGAGGAGTCAGTGAAGGAAAAAAAGCTGAGAAATTTTTTTGGTGAAAGTGCACAAGGTGTGGGGATGAAGATGACGGCGAGTGGAGCGTAGGGTTTTTGGAAAAATAGGCATTAGAAATCCTATCCAGGTCTATCCCACCCCCCCCACCGGATTTTTTTATCCGGGCTATATCCAGTCTATATCCGACCTTATCCTATCCTGGACCACTACCAAACATAGGATAGGATAAAACATATCCTATCCTGACTTTTATCCGGTCGACCAAACGCAGCCTAACTGGTTCCACAATCGCTGCCACAATATGCCCCACAACCATTGCCACAACCGACTGCACAATATTTAACACAACTCATGCCACGACCTATACCTAGAGCACAACCCGCTGCTATGCCTCTTGTGGTAGTTCATGAGTAGAATTAGTACATCGACCAGACAATGAGGAAGTATAGGTACGATGTGGGACATGTTACACCCGTATACAGAAAGCTGTATCCAAATTGGATGTATACAATACCTTACCCAATGTGCCAATTGTAGGATCTCCTTCCCCACACCTTTGTTTATATGATTATTTCTTCAAATGTTGCCACCTAGGGTAAGTGATTCGATCAATCACTCTAAGAGGACCAAATTACCAAGCCGTACCAAGGTTACTGGTACCACTCAATTGACGGTTATTTCTTATGCTCTTGTTAGGGAGTCTTCCTTGCGATATCTTTTCTTTGGGATGATGACGATTTTTTTGACTAATTTCCTTTTTGCATCCAGCACAGAGCGCAAAGGTTCAGTTGTGGTTTCTTACATCTGAATTTCATTGTCACCGTTGGAGCCCTTTCCTTTTCATTGGTGAACTTGATCTTGTCCTGCCGAATCGCCTCTTGAACATATTTCTGAAGACAATGCAATTGGCAATATTATGGCTCCATGAGTGGTGCCATTTGCAATATTTTTGTTTTCTAATTCTTTTTTGCTTGGTATTGTTTGGCCTTCAGTCAACTTTATTTGGCCATCAGCTAAGAGAAGACAAAAAAATACCGTCCATCCTATTCACATCGAACGTATAATACTGAGTATCATTTGCTTTCATTATAATGCTCTCTTTCAGCTTTTCTTTAGTCCTTGCTGGTTTTAATGCTCGATAAATATACGATTCATCGATCACCATTTTACCAACAGCTACCTCAGCATACTCCCCTTAGTCTAAACCAATGTAAAGTTCATATTTGTCCACAAAGGTCACATCATGTTTACCAGGTTTCTGTTTTTCTCCTTGAGCAAGTTCTCAAGTCTAATTGCCCCGGTTACTAGTTGGAAAAGGTCATTAATTGGTTGCCCTTCTATCCTCTCTCTTATGGAAAACTTCATACTGCCAAAGGCTATTTGGGCAAAAGACCTTTCTGGCAATAGTAAAAGACATCTATTTCTTACCTTCTTGAATCGAGAAATAAGCTGCTCCACTGACTTATATTTTTGTTGCTTTAGAAGTGCGAAGTCTGCAATAGTCACATCGGGGATAGCCCTCTAGAACTAACTATGAAACAATGCTTCAATCTACTCTCAAGAGTAAACGGAATTGGCTAGTAGTGCCGTGTACCAGGTAAAAACGATTTTTGACAATGGTAGAGTAAACAACCTTAATTTCCAACTATCACCATGAGTTACAACAGCAAGTCAAATCCATATAGGTCAAGCTACCTAAGAAATTCAGACCGAGAAGTTTAGTTTGAAAAAGAAATCCCGAGGAGTCGGTTTAAACCAATGAAGAATCAAAGGTATTAGAATTTCACCAATTACTTCAAGCATGGTTAGAGCTAAATTGCCTGCCAAATTTAGAGAAGCATCGATAAAGGTAGCGGATAATGAAAATCCAATTGTTGATGAAGAAGATATGGCTAACTTTCAATTCTCATATTAAGAGGTGATGGAATTCGAGAAACTACTCACATATAACTTTAGGCATCTCAAAGCCCTTAACATATTTGCTAACATCGACGGCAGTCCCAATTCCAAGGTTTTGGTTGACAAAGGGTCCACAATGAACCTTGTCGCTTATAAATTCTTCACAAAACTTGGGAAGAGGGAAGATGAGATCATTCCTTCAGATGTGCACTCTCGGATTCCACAGGAGGGATAAGCGAAGTCAAGGGAGTGTTCATTGCAGATCTGACCGTTGGGTCAAAGTCACCAAAGACCTCATTCTTCGTCATCGAAACCGATGGATTATATAACTTCTTGTTAGGAGAGATTGGATTCACAAAAACCAATATGTGCTATCTACACTACACCAAATGTGGGCCTCTTTGAACGGAGATAAAGTCTAGTACGTCAAGGCTAATCACAATGTGTACATGACCCAGGCACATGCATTGCGAATACATCGAGATCCCAACAAAGATGTCATCGATAACACTTGTTAGAAAACCATCAAGAGTTGACCCAAAAGACATGGCTTTCTACCGCTTTGCCAAGAAGGGCATCGAGTGAGTACCCAAGAATGAGCTGGCGAGGCAATTAGAAAGGTTGTCCATGAAAAACCTTATATTATTAGACGACCTCGATAAGAGGTATATGGCCTACTTGGCCGAATGCACTAAGTAGTCAATATAAGTTGCCGATTGCATAGCAAATTTTGAAGAGTCACCACTTAAGTAAGAGAATAAAGAGGCAGAGACTCAAGATCCTTTAGTTGAAATAGATATCGGTGACGAGCAACGTCGTAGACATTACAAAAAAATAAGGTTTTAGCGATGAATTTTGCCACAAAAAATTTGACAAAATTCACCGCTAAATGAATTTACCACGAAATTTGCGACGAAAAAATTTCGTTGCCAACTCTGCATTGCAAAATTTAGCGACGAAAAATTTCAACTTTCGTCGCAAATTAGTGACGAATTCTATTCGTGGCAAAATTCGTCTCTAATTTGCAACGAATTTTTTGTTTTTGGTTGGTAATTTGCAACGAACTTATTCGTGGCGAAATTCGTCACTAATTTGCCACTTTTTGCCACAAAAAATTTTGACTTTTGCCACGAGCATTGTTCTGAAACGAATTTAGCAATGAATTTTTATTAATTCTTTAGCGACGAACTCTGCGACGAATATTGTTTAGGGACGAAATTAGCAACGAAATTTTATTTTTGCAACGAACTTTTATAATTTGTGATCATATGATAAAATCATTTCTTTTATTTTTCGATTTTAAATCTAATTAACAGCAAAATTAATTTCTAGAATTTATATTTAACATTGATTAAGCACTTGATAACATCAAAATATTATAATAATATGAAAATGAAATACATTCATCAACATTTTCCACAAGAATGGCTCTTTGCGCCTAGTTTATCCAACATCAGAAATCTCTACATGGCTCTGCTCTGCTCTGATTCAACGCTATGAACTTGCCCAAAATTGCAAAGTATAGAAAGAAAGAGAAGTCAAAGGAGCATGCCAGGATGAGATCGAAAAATCGAATGGACAATCCTCACAGAAACCTCGGTGGCATCGGGATCGCGTCACTCATCCCATGTCACCACCCGTCCCCTCAAAGGCCTCATACTCGTAATCCTCGTCAAGATTCTCCATTGTTTTTCCAAAGACGAAGGATTTCGTTCCCATCGTCGTGAAAGGCATGAGGCCGAAAGCTCGAGCGGTTTTGATCTCCCTCGCAACCTTCCTCTGGGCCTTGGCATTGATGCGAGTCTACAAAAAGGGACAAACGGCAAATAAATAAGAAAATCAATTTGCAGCTCAATTAATTTCCATAACCTAACTGATATTCGACAGAACATGACAAACCATCCAAGTATGCAAAAGTTTCATGCAAGCTATGTTATTCATATATTATTAGGCGAACTACAGCGCTTAGAGAGAACTCATGCCGACATCGAGATAAACTCTGGCAACACCTAAATTTATGTCATTCACCCCTTGATCTGAATAAGAGGTTTCTTCTTATAAATACATGGGGTTACATAACGGAAACAGGACAGTGGCCTTCCTTCACTCTGGGGAAAATGGCCACTCTTTACATCAGTAGATCGGGCATCTAGGCGAGATTGGTCATTTAACAACTAGAAAAGCAGAACTAAGCAGAGCAAAATGGAAGAGAAACGTCAGTAGAGCACAAATAACCAGAGATACGTATTGCCTGTAATAAGAGTCAAATGGTATCAATGGCCCCTAGAGATATACAATCTCCAAAGAAATATCAACCAATTTAAAAGCTTCAGCATGCTGAAGGTATTAACCATATCACATGAAGCAGGAAACATGCTTGAAAAAGGTTTAATCAGAAGGGCATGAATGATTTACAGTGATCATCAAAGCACCTCTTGCTCATAAGAGGTGCTCGTCAGTTCAACATATCCGGTATACTATTTGACAATTCTAAACAAAAGAATATGATCAACCCAATGCTTACCCTGAAATCAGCTTTTCTCAGCACTTCTGCTGTAGTAACTTCAAATTCCCATCTTTTGGTGAACTTGCGCACTCCTGGTTTCTTAAGATCGAGATCCTAAAAGAAAGATAGATATAGCTCAGTGAATATAAGGACACTTAAGTGAAAAGCAAAACATTGCAGGAGAAAGTTAGCAACATACATAAAGGACAACAGGTTTTATGTATAATAGCTAAAACCATGACCCAATCCCTATAGGCCAATTAGTTTCCTGCTAAACACTGACGAAGTACATAATTGATAAGTAGCAACAGATTTCTCTCTCAAATCATAATATCCGGGCGATGTGGACAGCATAAGCAGATTAATATAGAAGATTCACATAGGAAAACCCACCACAGAGAGTAACACTGAAAAATTAAAGTTATTCACAACAAAAATGCAATTGACCAATCAGAGAGCATAAGAAAAAGGTCGATATATCGCACAACTTCTGTTGTGCCTTACACTTGTCAGCTGATAATCTTCTGTTGGCCAAAAACTCATGGACAAACTTCCAAACAGTAGATATAAATTAAACTCACATGCTTTTTAGTCCTCAGGTTTACTTTTTCCTAGAAACTATTTTTGCACGTATATTTTTTTGTAAAACCTTAAAATGGAGATAATTGAGGCTCTTACCATCTTCTCTGACAATACCATCATGTCCATCTGAGGAATATGGGTCTAAAGCAACATCAGAGTATATGACCTACATGGCAATAGAATCAGAAGGCAATATTAAAGATAGAAAACCATGAAACAGGAAGGACCCTATGCTCAGAACTACGCCTTCAACATTTTGACTTACGAGATCAGGGTACTTATCCTTGAGTAATCGTATTGTTCTTGGCACCAAACCATTGTCATTGTATGCTTCATCTCCAGTGGGAGACTAATACCGGAAGTTTAAGACAAAGGAAATCAGAATAATCGATTTCAATGAACCAGGACATAAAACAGGAGGAACAACCAAAACCTTCAGAGCATCAGGCACTTTGGGGAAGAGTACAATGCTATTAACACCAACATCACGAGCCTTCGCCACCTGTATCAAAAGTTTTGAAGGATTTAGAAAAATTTTGATTAGGCTCTATAGATATCTACAGAGACAACAGAGAGGTACTAGCATGGAGAATTCTATCTAAATTTGCAGGGATTTTCCAGAAAAATTAAACTCTTTCTTTGCTTGTCCCCTTCTATTCTGGAAAATGGAGCAGTTTTTCAAGGGTTAGTGAATCATCTACTCTAAGAAAAAGAAAAGAAAAGGACCCCATTTGGCAGAGCACCATTCAAAGCTCCATCTGAACCACTACATCTTCCAAGTCTACTCTAAACACAAGACAAAGACAATCATTTGACAGACCACCATCATATTTCCATCTGCACCATCACATCTTCCAACTGATTCCTCAATACCAATAGGCGCATAAAGCCTTCTAATCATTAAGAGGACATGGATGTTTTGAATTCCATACGTTGACAAGCCCACATTGACTGACTCACCTCTTCTACAAGCCCATGCCTCCAACCAAGCCTATAGCATCCTGGCATAGCCCCAATCGGAGTATCTTCCTCACCTGCAAATATTGTTGCCCAAGATGCTAAGTTAGTTCACATGGATTGAATCTACAAAGCACTGCACCTGAGAGATGTCTCACAAACCTTCACGAATAAAAAGTGGGTAGACAAAGTTTGCCGGGGACAAACTTGTCTCCTGGAAAGCTTATCTCAGGGCCGGTGGTCTTCGATTGCGACGCGGGCGGCGACTCAATGGCTACACAAACAAAAACCAATCAGGGAGGTCAAGAACCTAAAAAGCTGGAAAATGTCGGTATGATGAGAAATACATCGGCAAAGTAAGAAACACAAATTCAACACATAGTCCAGCCACTCCATGCCGCTACGCTCGTAAAGCTCAACAAAGCAGTTAAATTGAACACTCGCTAGCAAACGGACGACAGGAGTTCCAGCCGGGGCCTCCGGCTTGGGCGGGGGACCGGAGGCGCTTTGGGCACATTCCCCGCCACAACAGCAGCTTCGCATTCCGCATCCGTCATCCCCAACTTCTTAACAGAATCGTTGCGATTTTCACTAGCCCTCACGACCAATAACCGCCGGGACGGCTGTCCCCTGCTCGCGGCTCGCAAAGAACTGAACTTCGCACTCGGCGGCGGATTCAGCCCCACCTCACCCAAGAACAAGAAACCAAGAAATCCTCAAGAACGCTCCAAGAAAACCACACACAATCCCATAAATCCCCAAGAACCCGAGAAACCTAGCAAAGAACCTCGACCCACAAGACACCCACCGCGACCCAAGAAGCGCGAGCGCAAAACACGAGCCGCCGAACCATCCACCCCCCCACAGAAACAATCGCACGATCAACACCCCAAATTTCAAGAAGCCTCTCGAGGGAGGCGAGGGAGCGCGAGCGAGAGAGAAGGAAAGGATCGCACCCTGGATAAGGGTCGCGCGACGGGTAGGACGCCAAGACCGCCGTCGACCACCTCTCCGGATTCAACGTCGCGAACCGGTACCTGATCGTGCTCTACTACCAGCCGGCGAAGATGAACAAGAAGTTCAACCAGAAGAAGAAGGAGCGCGACGGAAGGAAGGGAGGGAGGAGGAAGAGGACGTCGGGAGGACGTCGGGCCCGTTTGGCTCGACTTCGGGGGAATGCATACGAGGAATGCAAATACGTTTGGGTTAAAAGATTTTCCGAAACGTAAGTAGTATTTGATAAGTATTTGGGCTAAAGGATTTTTGCTAATTTTTAAAAAAAAAAAAAGCTCCGATGGAGCTAAATCGCCGGCCACCGCCGCCTGGGGTCGCGCGACCTCGGCGACCGCTGCCTGGGGTCGCCGAACCTCAGGCGTCGCCTGGGTCTCGCGACCCAAGACAAGCGTTACTTGGGTCGCGCGACCCAGGCGACGTCCGAGGTCCGGCGATCCCAGGCGGCGGTTGCCGGGTCGACGGACGTCGGGCGTCGCAGGGGTCGCGCGACCCAGGCCAAGCGTTGCCTAGGTCGTGCGACCCAAGTGACGCCTGAGGTCCGGCGACCCTAGGCAGCGGTCACCGAGGTCGTGCGACCCTTCGGCGACCACTGCCTAGGGGTCGCGCGACCCCTAGGTGGTGGTCACCGGGGTCGGGCTAGCCCTCAGGCGGCGGTCGCCGGCCACCGGACCTCGGTCTGGGGAAGATGAACAATGTCGATGAACAGTACAAGTTGCATTCCGAAAATGCAACTTTCCAAAGCTCCTTCAGTGGAGCATTGGCCAGAGGTCCCTTGGGGAAGCATTCCAAATGCAATTGCATTTTCCCAAAGTTAGTAAAAAAAATTGTCAAACACCATTTGTATTTGGCCAAGGGACTTTAGAGCCCAAATGAGCATTTCAAATGCTGAACCAAACGGGGCCGTCGTCGTGTTGGGGTTGGGGTTTGCGGGGAGGGCTCGCATTCGGGGGTCGGTCGTGCACGCGCAGAGAGAGAGAGAGAGGGCGAATTTTGCGACGAACTTTTAATGTTTGTCCCTTCGTCGCTAATTTAGCGACGAACTTCTTATTCGTCGCAAATCAGCGACGAATTCTTTTTCGCTGCTAATTTTTCGTGGCTAAATCCTTATTTTTTTTGTAGTGAGACCAATATATGCTAGTGCTTTGTTGAATGATGAGTTCAGGGAACAATTGATTCAATTGCTCCAAAAGTATAAGGATTGTTTTGCTTAGAATTACCATGAAATGCTTGGATTAGGAAGAAACGTAATGGAGCACAAGCTGCCAATTAAGAAAGGATCTCGACTGCATAAACAACCCGCAAGGAGGTTTGCACCGAGGTCATTTCCATGATATGATCGACGAGCTCGTGGAAGTTTATATGGATGATATCATCATCGAATCAAATCTAGTAAGTCATCTAAACTATCTTGAGCAGGTTTTTATTATGATGCAAAAGTATAAATTGAAAATAAAAACCTTGAAATGTGCTTTTAGAGTTAAGACCGGGAATCTCCTAAGATTCTTAGTTAATCAGAGGGGTTGAAATAGATAAGAAAAAGCTAGAGCAATCCTAGAGTTACCATCACTGACAAATAAGAAGCAGTTGCAAGTGATTATAGGTAAACAAATATTTTCTTACACCGATTTATTGATAACTTGCCTAGCAAAATCTAAGCTTTCTCTCTTCTACTTAAACTAAAAAATCAAGAGGAATTTGTTTGGGAAGAGAAATATATAAAAAAACATTCGATCGGATTAAAGAATATTTGATTAATCCTTTAGTTTTAATGCCACCTAAAACAAGTAGGCCATTGAAACTTTATTTGTTGGCTACTGATACAACTATCGAAAGCATGTTGGCACAGGAGACTAACGAAAGCAAAGAGCGGGCGGTATACTATCTCAGCCGAATGTTGAATCATGCCGAGACGAGACATACCTCTATTGAGAAATTATGCATGTCCTTGTATTTCTCTTGTAATATATTATGCCACTATATGTTGCTGACTATAATTCATGTAATATGCAAGACAGATGTAATCAAATATACGTTAACTAAGCCGATTGTCAGAGGCTGTATCACAAAATGGGCTTTTGCCCTGTCAAAAATCAATTTGATATATGCCCCACTTAAAGCGGTAAAAGGATAAGCAGTTATCGATCTCGTCACAACGTATCCAATGGTGCACATCGAAGAAGAAAAATGTGAAAATCTAATACAAGTAGTGCTATGGACTCTACATTTTGATGGATCTTGTGCAAACAAATTCTCAGGTATAGGAATTTTGATAATGTCTCCGCGAGGACACAGAACTAAATTTATGATTAAGCTTGATTTCGAGTGTTTGAATAAACGAGCGGAATATGAGGGTTGATAGTCGGCTTAAATAATTTAGTCTACATGAATGTGCAATTTGTGCAAATAAATGGAGACTCCCAGCTTGTTATTAAACAATTGACTGGAGAGTATCATTGCCTCAATGAGAACATTGTTTGATATTATATGTTGGCAAAAGAATTGCTAGGTAGTTTCTTTTATAATGAATTAATACATATCAAAAGAGACAAGATTGCAGAAACCAATAAGCTAGCTTGAATGGCCACTGGATACAGAATATCAAAGGATTAGTCAATTTCATTATCACCAAAGTAAAAATATTGCCTTGGACCGAATATTGAGTGTTGATGATACGTGCCCATCCATCTAAAGAATAAGGCGTCAGTAGTGACCAAGAGGATTGGAGAAAACCACTTATCGAATATATGAAAGACCAAGACCAAGTCACCAAAGATAAGAACTTCAAAAGACATGCATTTAAATATTTATTGCTAGGCGGCAAGTTATATCGAAGAACCATCAATGGGGTATTGCTAAGATGTTTAAGTAAAAATGAGTCAATGTTGGTCATGGCATAAGAACAAGAAGGAATATGAGACGCACATCAAGCTGGAACTAGAATGAAATGGTTATTGCATCGTCATGGGTATTTTTGGTCAACTATGATATCGACTACGCAAAAGGTTGTGAGCCTTACAAGAAACATGGTCCAATTCAACATGTCTCGGCATCAATGTTGAAACCTATTATTAAATCATGGCCATTCAGAGGATGGGCTATGGATATGATAGAAAAATATATCCTCCATCAAAAAATCATAGTTTTATTTTGGTTACCACCAATTATATTACAAAGTGAGTTGAAGCAGCCTTTTATAAAATTATCACACAAAAGATCGTGAAAGAATTATAGAAGAGCATATTATGCATCCTTTTGGTATACTTGAAATGATAACAGCCGATCAAGAAACTGTGTTTACTGGACAAGAAATTTTGGATTGCACTAAGTCTAGAGGGATTAAGATGGTTCATTTCACGCTCTATTACGCCTAGGCTAATGGACAGGCCGAGGCTTCTAACAAAATTTTAATTAGTCTTATAAAAAAGCACCTAGAGGATAATCCTAGAGAATGGGATTCCTTATTATCCAGAGTGTTAAGGGCTAATCGATTATCAAAAAGATCGAGCGCAGGCGTAAGCCCATATATGTTGACAAACATGCAAGGAGCCGTCCTTCCTCTAGAGATTACGGTTCAGTCTTTGAGAGTCCAAATTGCAAGGTGATATGACCAAAGAGAAATATGATGAGCTAGTGTACATGAACATTCACGAGTTGGGTGAAGACAGAATTGCTGCGTTGGAAAAAGCGGTTGCCAAAAAGAGAGGAGTTACTAGAGCTTACGATAACATGTGACAACAAGACACTTTGATGTGGGCAATTTTGTTTGGAAAACCATACTGCCAGTGAACACAGATAATGAAAAATTCGGGGCATGTGGTCCTCTAATTAGGAAGGAACCTACTTGGTTACGGATACTATGACCGACAACGAGTATCAATTAATGGATATCAATGGAAAAAAGTTGTCCAGGTCCATTAGTGGAAAATACTTGAAGAAGTACTATCTGACCATGTGGGAAATGCAAGAAATGCATACTGAACAGGAAACTGAAACATAAAAAACATTGGTACAATTCACATCGATGAAAAGTAAAACACACCGACCCTACACAAAAATAGCTGAATAAAAAAGGAAACGCAACAATATCAACATCAACTACGACAATGACAACAACCAGACAACAACAAGGTGACATCAGATGGTCATGCTAGACCAACATGCCCCCTAAACTTGAGCACAAAATAGGCCAAACACTTCTCCATGTGCTTGTTATCTTTGATGGCTCGATCATAGGCAGCAGCTCGGGTCTGCCAGATAGGGTAAAGGCGCTCACATTCGTTCTCCAGCTCTTCAAAGATAGGAGTCTGATCGTCCACCATTCCGTTGACCAAGTCACTAGTGACTAGGAAATATGGCTGTCATGGTCCAAGTCGTTCAGCCTCCTGTCAAGCCTTGCACTCTCCGTTTCAAGGGGAAAATTGTCAAATCAGTCCTAAACCTATTGTACGGCAGCCAATTCAGTCCTAAACCTTTTAATTTTGCCAATTCGAGTCCTAAACCTTTTAAATTCTTGCCAATTGAGTCCTTAGGCCAATTTTGGCCCATTGCATTACGTGGCCGCCGGCCGGCGCCGGCCGTCCAATCAACGCTGATGTGGCAATTTTTAATTATTTTTTTTCAATTTTTTAATCTTTTTTTTCTTTTTCTTTTTTTTTTTCTGCTGCCTCCCCACTGGCCGGTCCGGCAACCGGCGGCC